CGAAATTTGTATATGAACAAAATTGTTCAAAATCATGTCCGTGATAAGATTTTAAAAGCGTACTAAAATCGAGAAAACTTTATTTCAAAAGTTGCCGGTTTTTTTGCAATAACAATACTTTGCAATTAAAAAATGAAAAATTTTTTGATAATGGTACCAATGGGAGTCAGCACCTACCAGATGCAAAAGGTTTCATTCCGATCGGTCCATCCAGCTAGGCGTAACGCGCGAACATACATAGAAAAAAAAAAAGAATATACTGATCGAATTGAGTAACCTCCTCCTTTTTCGAAGTCGGTTAAAAAGACAGTCGAACCACAGTATAAGAAAGCACAGTAGGTTGACTCGGTGTCGGCAGCTTTGATCTCATGACTAAAAGATCGCCATGTTGCTAGTTGTGCGCGGGCTCTAATTTGAAAGACACAAAAAGAAAGAAAGAATTTTACTAAATATTTTAAACAAAAATAAGACTGCAGAGTAATAACTCACTTGATGGGAAGAAAGTTAGAGCCATTGTAATTATATGGTACATAAATTATTGTATTGTGTATATTTACAAATAACTTTGTGTTTATTTTGTTGTACATATGTATTAATTTATTTTTAATTAACATATAATTTCATCAAAATCATTACATAAGAATACAATTATTATATACAATAATGAATAAATACGTACTTCCTACGTCGTTATAAACGACGTTAGAAAAATATAATCTGATAATTATAATATTTACAAATGTGTATCCATCCTTGTTCCATCAGTCAGAATGTGATCTAGATGCTGAATTCTTCTTTTATTTTCTTCATTTGAGTTTATTGATATATACCTACAAACATTTAGGAATATTAATTAATTAATATAATGAATAAATAATAAATTATAATAAATTAAAGACTAAACTAAAACTAAATGCGAAAAAAATAAACGTGGGTTTCAATAAATCATGTTTTCGTTGAAATAATTTAATAATAAGTAATTATATGTCATTATAAATTTAAAAGTTCTGTAAATTGCTTTTTAAATTATGATAAATTGTTCACGAGAGATTTAAGTAGAGATTACTTCCATTCAAAATTATACCAGGAATTTCTTATGTTACAAAATGTTATTTATTTGAAAATATATTACATTATCGCATAAACAGAAATGGTATGAAAATTTTAAATTATCAATTGTGAAACAAAATAATAGATTTCTTTTTGCTCTTGTTTTTAGTTTATAAATCTCTATTAATAAATTTTATGATATAACATAATCTTATTCTAATAAATAATTTCAGTAAGTAAATTTTTGGAAAATTGCTACAGGGATGCGAAAACTCCACAGTGGATAAAATTTGCATAAACTTTTGCATAACATTTGTTTGAGCAATAATATTGTAATTTTCAAAAAATTTGGTATGCAATTCTGTAATGTAATTAATAAATAGTGCATTTAGTACATATAAGCTGCCAAACATGTCATTTTCATTGTTATAAGATTTAAAATAAGAATACAAACGTGATTGTTCTAAATTACAATTTGTTTCTGCAAGAAATGCGCATGTGTCGCAAAAATGTTTCATAAAAATTTGTTCAGTTATTGGTAAATTGCGGTAATCGTATTCATGTAAATCCGAAATGATAGAAGATGCTGCTTCTGAAGATATTTCAAATGTATTTTGTGTTTATATGTCCTGAAATTTAATTAGTATCGAGTCTTCATCACCTGCGCAATTTCCACTGTCTGCTTTGATGTAATCGACAGAAAACAGTTTTTTAAAATTGTAATAAAATTGTGCAGGTGTAGGATTAAATGCATTTCCAATTTGTTTTCTTATGCTTCCAAAAAATATTTCTAAACTGTCCTGATTCAGTCGTCTGCTTAATAAATAGTGAACAGGAACTAACAACTCTTGTAAGTAATTCCACAATTCCAGTATGGAATTTATTGTTGGTATCCAACATTTAGTTGATTTTAGGGACTTCGTAACATCTTTTCCATCTTTTCTAATGACTTTTACGTTTTTCAAAAATTCTATCGTTTCCTTCAGATAACTTGCTTGTTCCTTGGTATCTGTAAACGCTTGTTTATAAGGGTTACTACTATAAATTTCTGAGGAATTTAAAATGTCAAATAATTTATCAAATTTGTTTATGAAATCAGCTGTAAAAATAGCTGCTGTGGGTAAACAATCTAAACTGACATATGTATTTATGCTAGCTGAAACGGAATGGCTGAATATTTGTGTGGCATATTTCACTTTCATTTTTAACCGACTTCAAAAAACATATTTCACTTTCATTTTTAACCGACTTCAAAAAAGGAGGAGATTACTCAATTCGATCAGTATATATTTTTTTTTTTTTTTTATTATTATTATTTTCAAAGCTTCTTGGGTTAATATGGCTATCTGTTAATTTTTAAGCTGCTCTTTTTATCTATTGTGTAAAAGTCTGTTATGTGCTTCCAGGAAACAATTTTGTCTTCATATACGTAATTATGTATTAGTAAATTATTTCCAGTCGCTTTCATAGAATGAGGTACATCAAAAATGTAATATATTTTTTCACCGTCTATCGTGAAATATGATTTTTTATCAGTAATATTCAATAATTGAGCGAATTGGTTAAAGTTGGAGCTCATATCTGATGTAAAGCCAACAATTTTTAAACCAATGCTTTTCATGCTTCCAATTGCTTTTTCTATAATTATTAGTAAATCAGATGCTTTCATTGTGGAGTTCAAAAAGAAATAACTTAATGGTTGTTTCCATGAATGACAAATACTCTTAACCATAATAACTGCTACATTACATGCAAAAAGAATTGTGAACAATTCTGTGAATATCCTATGTCTCCAAAACCTATGATTTTATCTGTTGTTATATTATAAAATAAATGTGTTTTCAAAGACATTTTGTCTATACAAAGTATGCAGTATTTCTGAAGTTCTGGCAAAGTGTCAATCTTAATTTTTAACATTTGAAATACGTTCTCTTGTAATCTTGGATTTCTATAACAGTTTTGTGTAAATCTTTTTAGAGTTGAACAGCAAGGTAAATAAAATAATTTGTATTTGTTTGCTAACTCTTTATATACTTTAGGACTTGAAAAATATATTTACGTCAACCTTGTGACGTTTTATAGCGGCTGAATTATGGAGAAGAAAATATAAATCTCCGACATAATCAACATTCACCATTAGTGCATGGTGAATGTCGACATTTACCGGTGTAAGTCAGAAGTAAGGGTATTTAGCAAATATTTCGGACATACACCAAGCGACTATGTGAATGTTGACATTCACCGGTGAAAATTGACATTCTCCACATTTCGGTCTTTCACGGTAACATATACATAGTTTTATTTGAAAATAACTTACCATTATTTCTTATAATATTACTTGGAACGGCGTGTGGTTGCAATTTTGTTTTTTCATAATTTAAAAACATATAATTTGCATAATGGAGTTTGCATACTCTATAATTATTATAAAGTTGTATGGCTGTCTTTGAAAGTAAATCCTCTCGACCACACATTGATGCCCACAATTTTGACCTACAAGCAATAGTATTTTTATGTTTCTACATATTTCAAATCTTTGTTATATACCTATAATTATTAAATTTTCACATGTTGATCATATTAAATAAGAATGTAAGAAAATATTACTTGTACTGATTGTTTAACAACTGATTTTGAAACATGGTTCAACAATTAAATCGAACTTAATTATAATGCAAAAATTATTTTAAAGTTAGTGTAATATTTAAACATAGTTCATGCACTCTCTCTTAAAAGTTATAATAAATACAAGATAAGTAACATAATGAACTAACCTTTCTACATTTTTCGGTAATCGAAACAAAGTTTCAATTTTGTATTGTGTAGGCATTTATATTGGTTCTATATTATCTGTAAGACCCATTAATGTTTATAATTATCCCATGAAGTGTGAATGGAGTGAATGAGGGTTGCAAGTCGTGACGTGTGCTCGTTGATAAACGTATCAATGCTGTGAATGTTAAAGACGTGTGCGTAATTTCCTTGAAAATTAATTAAATGTTTAAATATTGTTTCGTTAATTAATGTTTATTCATTTTTAAAAGTTACTACAATTGTGTGGAATACAAAAAGCGTTATGTCGGCGTCTTCTGTGTACTCAATATAAGCCAAAGTTTGTTGTCTTGAAAACAAAGAATAATTCCTTATAAACTAGTGGGACTCAGAGACCCCGGTGGCGATATATCTCCGATGAAAGAAATATGAAATCCATATTTCAAAAGTAGACTATTTCATTTTCAATATTTTTAATTATACTTCAAAAACTTTAAAAAATAATGTACACTGGTGGACAAAATTATAAGACACCCCATTTATTCTTTAAAAACACGTGTATACGTGTGCACGTAACAAGAACGACGAAGAGATGAACGAGTAGTATTTTTCGAACTCTACCGCGTTATAAACAATCACAAAGCATCGAAGTACTTCCTAGAAATGTAGTGTTTAGATTTTCGGGTAGGACAAAATTATAAGACACTAATGTTAGTCGACTGCAGATGGTTGTTGTATCTAAATAGGTCCGTGTTTCGTACTGTAAATTCTCTGTTGTAGCGATTTTTTTATTATAAAACATAAAAACATAGTAAACGTTAGTAAAAACATTTAAACTTAAAGAATGCCACGTGGTAACCATTTAACTGAGGAGGAAAAAATAGAAATCCTTCAAAGAAGAGCAGAGGGAGAGAATTTAAAACAAATTTCACTAAAAATAAAAAGAAGTAGATGTGTAATTCGTAATTTTTTAAATAATCCAAAAAATTACGGAAAAAGGAAGAGAGCGGGAAGACGATCATCCCTTACATCGAGAGATAAAAGAGCAATTTTAAGGTGCGCATCCAATGCAGCTCTTACACCTAGACAAGTTTTAGCAGAATGCCGTTTGAGCGTATCTGTAAAGACTGTACAACGAATTATACAAAAGGCACAGCACCTGAAACGGAAGAAATTTGCTGTTAAATCACCTTTATCGGTAGTACACAAACAGCGTCGACTGGATTTTGCTGTTAATCATCTGCAGTGGAAGAAAAAGTGACGAAAAGTGTTGTTTACTGATGAAAAGAAAATGAATTTAGATGGACCTGACGGTTGGAAATATTATTTTCACGATATACGAAAGGAAAAAAGAATTTTAAGTCGCCGTCAGCGTGGTGCAGGATCCGTAATGTTGTGGGCAGGCGTTGGGTATAATGGGAAGACTGAAATTAAGTTCATTGATACTAGACTCGAAAGTAATGGTTACACATAACTGATAAAAGAGCAAATTCGAAATCATGCTCGCAGAGTTGCTGGGGAAAATTTTATATTTCAGCAGGACAATGCACCTGTTTATACAGCCAAAGCCATACAAAATTATTTTCAAATAGAAAATATTCCAATTTTAGATAGGCCAGTACGGTCTCCGGATCTCAATATTATAGAAAATGTGTGGGGTCAACTCAGTAGAACAGTATACGAAGATGGCAAACAATACAATAATCTTTGATTTAAGGTAGCAATTCCGAAAAGATGTGATAACATAGATCAAAAGTATATAAAAAAAATTACATAAAAGTCTTCCGAAACGAATGATCGAAGTTGTTCAAAACAAGGGAGGCACTACCCATTATTAACATTTTACGTTGTCTGAAATTTTTTAATCTTTTTCCTTTCTTAAGCAGTGTCTTATAATTATGTCCAAACGAAATTGCCTTGAATAAATTAAGAATTTATTATTATTTTTTCCAATATTTTTGAAGATGTTATTAAAAAATAAACAGTTTTCATTTGATGAAATGTATTTTTACATAACTATAATATTAAATACCTAAACCTATAAATTTCAAGGTGTCTTCTAAGTTTGTCCAGCAGTGTATGTTAATATGATGACATCTCTGATTGTGAGTATAATGTTATTTTACTTCTTGAGTTATATTGTCTTCAGTACACTTAAAGTAAAAATTATTACTTTTTTAAATGTATAGATGTTAGACTATATTGAACCTAAGACGACTTTCGAATATGGACCCGATATTTAATATGTAAAAAAGAACTAGTGGCGGCGCCACTTGCCTCTTTCCGGTTTATAGCTGTTCTTCTGGTATGATGCGTTTCTTTACACGTCCGATAAAGGGAAACATATTTACAGCAATCTGTCTCAATCTAATAAGTTTATTTTGCGTTTTGTTTGATACAGAGTATTATAGTTTTATGTTCTATTGTGTTTTCTATAGGTCCATTTTTGTATTCCTTTTTCTGTTCGTTTATATATACGTATTCTTTTCAATAAAGAATTGTTATATTACAAGAGTAGATATGTTGCAAGTGAATATTTTTTTAAACGAATTCAAAAAATGAATGTTCTCTTTGTCACTCATCAGTATACAGTTGTTAAGATTTGAAATAAAATTCTGCAAAATTTTATTTTTTTATTTTCCATGAACCTAATTTGTTAACTAAGTTGCTCACCATCTTGTGAATTTTACTTTTTTTTTTTGGATACTTTCACGAGCGCAATTATTTTCTGAAATTCCAAATTTTATTATTGTATATGTTAGAATATAGCAATCTAAATTTAAGTATTGGCATCAACTAGCGAGGGTGTGAAGCCTGTGAGGGCAGCACTTTCATTTTACCACGAGATCGTAAAAAATAAACTTCCGAAAAACGTGTTACTGAGTCTTTATTATAAAAGCAGCATACATGAGAGCATGGGGAATTATTATTAAGAAAAATACCACTATTATTATTACGAAAGTCTGTATAAATGTATCATTAAATAATAATTGACAAATTACAGAATATTTATAGTATTTAAAGTTTGTAAAATTATTTTTCTTTCACTTTGAGTGGTTCAAACAGTGTATGTAGATCTACTTTCCATCCTTTGAAGCATCGTCAAATCTACTTTTTGCTCCCCATATTTAGGAATTTATGATTTGTTTCTATTTCATATTTCTGCTTTCTAGAATTCTATTTTCTCTTTGTTTTTTATCGGTTTTATCTTTGTGAATCTGTGGTAAACATGAGCCGTTGAAACGTCATCACTAATTCTACGCTAATCTGACGAATATATGTGAGAAGGAAAATAGCAAAGGCAGACGTTTCAGTGTCCGAACGTCGGTAATGAATGTTATTAAACTATTTGTTATTTGTATAAAAGATACCGACGTTGCAAGAGCGAGCAGACGTTCATTCGTTCTTCCCTGAAAAGCGGAATAAAAGATAGTTGTTGATAGGCGAAACCACAGCATAACAAGGCGTTTAGAGATTAGGCGATAAAAGTCGTAAAAAGTCGTAAATGTTTAGAGTTTTAAATAGTGTTTAAGAAATGTTTCTTTAAAAGTTATTGTTACTGTATCAAGGTTTAAAAAGTGTTAAAGATTTTTGTAAATTAATAAATAAGAACTTTGCACAGATCAAATAAAAACAGTGCATCATCACTCTTGCATCGTTATTCCTACATATGTGAATAAAATCTTTTAAATTCTAACTTTGAAATTTGAAAATTTAATTCATTTAATCGCAGAGATCTCTGACAAAATTCTTCGAAAAAGCTTAAAATCATATCCTACAACTTTGCTTTTCATGGTAATAAATGACTTGTTGCTAAAAAGTTTTAATAATAGAAGTAAACAATTCTGTTGTGATGTATAAAAACTTACTATATGACACTGACTAACGGTGTAATGATAACATATTCTCAAAAGAATATGTAAGTATAAATGCAGTCGCATTAATATTCCAAACACTGCAGAACTTTTGTGCAGGTTGTTATATACAGAAAGCGATGATTTATAGTATATCACACTGCTTATTTCACAAAAAAGTAAATCATTTCTTGTAAATTGAAAATATGTAAATAATTTCTTTTCAACTATTACATTCTGATATACAATACATTTTAAACAACAGGTTAGTACATTTCCACGTCACATTAATGCTCAGACATTTTATGAGACATAAAGAATTTATATATAATGTATACGAAAAGGTAAAATTTTAATATGTTTCGCAAACCCTTTTTATTTAATAACCTCATGTAATCATTTGCGTATATCAAAAGTAATTTTTTAAATTTTTCTGAGGAAGCAGAATATTTTAAATTTATTGACGATTTCCTAATTTTTGGTCTAATGCATCCTGTATATTCTCTATGGGATTTATATCTTGGGATTGTGGTGATTAATATAAAACTTTTGGACAATTATATAACATGTATTTCAGTCCTATTCAAAGTTTCTGTTTTACATAATTATCCTGATAAAATATAAAAGTACTTGGCATTTCCATATTTTTACATTTTTCATTGAAGCTTTCGAAAAGGCCCAGATATCTATTTTTATCCAAAATATCGTGTGTTACTGCGTAACAAATATTGTATAAATTTGTAATTCGTTTAAGTGACCCGTGACCTCCCAAGGTAACAAAAATTAACTATTCAGGTAGGGCAATTTGAAAAACATACTTCGAGGAAATCTCCGAAGATCATAAAGCCAAAAAGTTCAGTAATATACATAATTACCCTTATAGATGCCATAAAAAAGGTCACCGGTTTTACACACTTAGGAAAGTTTAAAAAATTTACAATCTTAACCGCCCTAAACATCGAAGCTCCAGAGAACCTACCTGAGTCTAACGGTAGTCCCCGCCAAATGTATGCCATTTCCCCAAAATAGAGAAAATCTCGAATAACCAATCAGAAACGTCGTTAGAAAAAGCCCCCACTATAAGGAAAAGTTAACGTCGATAGAAAATTTTGCGAGAAAGATCAGATCAAAACATAGTAGCATACGAACAACATAAAAATCATCCTCTACGTGCCGTCCGATAGAATTCACTAACTTGTACTCTGAAATTTTTGTAGTTTTATTATTAAATATACATAAGTGTTACATTGTACTTTAACATTATTCACTATCCATTATTTTCAAATATTCATTCGCCGTGAAGTCAGCGTGTGAAGTGAGCATTCTCGAAAGTATCTTTCAACATAAAAAATTGACTATTTTGCTCATGAGTCAACATCGTGTGTGAATACCAAGTCATCAACGGCCACACTGGAATTGCACCCCCATACAGGGGTGATCAGTATACAGGGTGTTCAGCTACTGGTGGGCATAATTTTAGGGGGTGGT